TCAGAAGGCTCCATGAGGCATTATCTGTTGCACGCTGAGCAACACAACTCAGCATGCAACTGATAATGTCTATGGAGATTTCTTAACTTACAGCAATTCCCACCTAAAGTTATGCTATTTGTGTAACTCTACAACAGGATTTCAGCCTTTAAGTGGCACAAAAAGCTTTCCTCACCAAGAGAGGGAAATGGTCAGAGAAAGAAGGTCAAAGAGACTTCACACTGCTGCTTCGCTTGCATCTACCACCTGATGCATTCGTCCCTCTTTGTCCAGTAAGGGCAGAATCTGGCGCTAGGTCCAAGGGGTTACCATGGGCTCAAAATGAAACCATAGTAACATTGCTAACTTCCCATTCACAGGCAAACGGTGAGAATTTGGAGGTCAAGTGACTTAACATTCTGTTTTATATTTCTACCCTGCATCTAAGCAGAAACCAAAAATGAGAGCTGGACATTTTTGTTATGTCTTTATGAGCAAATAGTTGAAAATGATGCCCCTTATTGAAAAATAAATGAGAAAATTCTAAGTATTATTTTCCTAAGGATTCCATACATGCCTAATGATGTGCCCTTTCTTGTAGAAAAATGCTACCTCTAGGGACTACCCGCAGAAGTTGCATGAGAAAAAAATTATCTTGACATTTTCCTGCCCATAGGAGTATATGAATGATGTCTCACCATTCACTAGACTTCAACCTTAACTACTTCATTTAGCACTACCCCTTTCACCTATTACAGGATGCAGCACATGAGACCTTTCCCTAATTGGATTTCAACTTCTATGCCAAAAGAGGGCTTCACTCCTGCATTACAGCCCACATTTTTAAATGTTGCTTCACCTTTCAGTCACCAGTTCCTAAGTAGAAAGCACATTTCTGGGCAGGAACATGGAACTAGCTTTAGTCCATCAAGCGAAATGTGTATGGATAGGAATGACAGAAGTCAACCCTGTATGATTTATATATCTTCAAAATGAGAGACTTCATAATACAAAATGATACTCCTTGATTAGCATTTGCACACCACTCACAGGACAAACAGAGATAAGAACTAAATACATGCTCAGAGGCACCACATATGTCATAAATTCCACAGTGCCACTGAGAGCAGAGCGATCAAGGGCTAGAGCAACTTCTCCATCCTGGAAACTTTTTTAGCTTAGAAAAAAGTGAAGAAAGTTGAGGACCAAGACAGAGATATGTAAAATTATGCATGTTGGAGTAAATGGGGGTAATATGAGGCTGCAGATGCATCCAATGAAGCTGAACGATAGAAGACTGAACATGGATGGACAAAAGGAAAGTTCTTTTCACATAGCATGCAGTTAAATTCAGGAATTTCCTTCCAGATAATATAGAGATGGTTGCCAACTTGGACAGCTTCAAAAGGGGATTAATTTATGGAGGATAAGGCCACCAGTGCCTATTGGTCTTGATAGTTATATATTACCTCCAGTGTCAGAGACATTATGCCCCAGAATACCAGCTTCTGGGAACATGAATCGGAGGGTGCTATTGCATTCATGTCCTGGTGGGGGCTTCCCACAGACATCAAGCCATTGTGGGAACGGACAGCTAGACCAGTGGTTCTTAACCTTTGTTACTCTGATGTTTTTGAACTGCAACTCCCAGAAACCCCAGCCAGCACAGTTGGTGGTGAAGGCTTCTGGGAGTTGCAGTCCAAAACTCCTGAGTAACCCAAGGTTAAGAACCAGTGGGCTAGACTACATAGGCCTTTCGTATGATCCAGCACAATATATATTCTTATAATCCCTCTCCCAGTGGATCAGCGTTTTCAATTCACTTCCATATACTTGGAAAATTACTTTTTGCAACTATATCTCCCCAAATATCCCAGCCAGCCAGATAAGTTTCAGGAGCTGCAATCCCAAGAGTAACTTTTCAAAGCTCTGCATAAAACACACATGCATGCATGTATGTATTAATAAGATAATAAAGAAAAACCATTATAAAAAATGTACCATGTGCTTTTCATTTAGACAACCACAAGCCTCTATGAAGGAGAAAGTTGGGCAGGGGGCAGGCACGCTGAGCACCTGTGATTTGGTATGATGGCTCTAACACAGAAACCAGACACAATAATTAAGTAAAGTACAAACCCTTGGCCTCTTTTTTTTGGGGGGGGGGAGCAGACAATAGCCTGGCCACCAGCATAAGTGCTGAATTCCACAGAACGTCAGTGAAAACAAATGCCATGTTTCTTCATAAAGTGATGGGCTGGCTCCTTCCAGAGCTCCTAAAACAGACTCGCTCACTCATCAACCCTGAGTGAACAAAAATGGACTTACAAGGCAATAAACATGTTTAGCTTCACACCCTGAATCTGCCTCTGTGAGCAAGGAAGATGGTTTCATTTTAGAAAAACTGCAGAAAATTCCTCAGAGTAAATTGAGCAAACACATCTCTACCCTGAGGGTGAAGTCTGATTAATATAAGTCTTTCTGACGAGAAGAATTCTGAGCTTGTTACTACATTTAAAGATCCCCTGCTCTGCCTGGCCATAGGAAGGTTTATGCTATGTGGGTACTCACTACAAGCCTTCACAACAGACTTGGCAAAACAAACAGATAAAACATACATACAAAAAAGTAAGATTAACAGGTTTCAGGCTGCTGAAACCACCCAGGATCTTACTCCAAAGAGAGGGAATGTTTTAGATCTCCTGATGCTGTTGGATTGTAAAACTGCTTCTCTGTCAGGCACCAGGAATGCTGGTTAGAGGGCTAATGGAAAATGGTTTTCATCAATACCTAAGAAGTTTGAGCAGTACATCTACCCTCAGCAGTGTAGTTTTCATAATTGAACTGCTGGGACAAGGGAATCCTAGGATCAAATCCCTGCTTAGCCATTAAGTTCATGGGGTGACTTTGAGTCTTTCTGTCTCCACCTAACCTACCTTGCAGATTTGTCTTGAAGATGAAAGTTACTTGAAAGGATAGGATAAAAATGCAACAAAACAGTATGGCTCACTTAAATATACCATACAACCATATCAAAAACCACTATGTAACACTTATAGCAAGCCATATGAATGTCAGCAGTAGTTTATTACTACAATGCCCATGTCACAAACACTAGTTCAAATTGATTCTAAGAGTCTGAATTTCAAATTCCAAACAGCAAGGATTTATTCCTCAGTTTGTGTATTCCATACAAAATCTTCAACCTAGCTTCCATATTTACTGATTATCCTATCTAGGATTTCGATCATAGCTTTCTGTGCATTTAACAGTTCTGCAACAAATTGAAAGTCAACAGATATAATCTTTATTGGAATTAATAAAGAAGTCCCATATCCTGCATTTTTATCTGTTCCAGATTGTAAAAGTCACTGAGGCCCTGACAGAAAAAGATGCAAATCATATGAATATACCGGAAACTTAGAGACAGCAGCATTTCTTTCTACCACTAATGGTCAGTAATCCATTGAAATACAGCACCATTGCTCCGTTTTCCAGATGCAGAAACAAAGTCTAAGACACAGGAACATTTCCAAATTTACCCCAAACAGTCAATAGCAGAAGGGTGATCTGAAACAGAGTGCTCCCACTGTTGTTGGGTTCATTCTCCTAAGAAGCAATAGAACACATCATTGAAATTTACTTAGATGAGGATGCTCAATGGGACCTTGCTACAAACTGGCAGCCCAATCCTGTACATATTTACTTCGAATTAAGTCCTACTGAGTTCAAGGCACCTTGCACGTAAGCAAGAATAGTTAGAACAGGGTCTGTGTCTTCTGTGCTATCAAGCCAGAACCAACTTAGAGCGATTCTAATATGGCTTTCAAGATAAATGAGATATTCAAGGAGTGGTTTTACCAGTTCCACTCCCACCCCCCTGAGTTTTCCATGGCCAAACGGAAATTCAAACCCTGATCTCCAGAGTCTGAGTCCATCACTCCATCCACTGCAACGCACTGGGAATCCCAGTGTGACCTCCTCCTCCTAAGTAAATAGGCATGGTTTAGTAACCAACCAGCCACTCAACGCACACTCTTGCTATCTCAGATCAGCCTACCTCACAAGGTTGTTGTGAGGATAACAAAATATAGAAACCATGGATACCACTAGGAGTTCGGTATTGGGGGTGGGGTGGGGTGGGGGAGGGAATCACTGTCCTTATCTTATTTCTGCAGAGCGTTTCAGAACATGAAAGCAAACCAGCAAGATGGCTACAATCTCACAAGCTCTTCTAGCTCCCCAGAATCAAGGATACCTCTTGAACAAACCGATATTTTCTGCAACATCTCGGGCGCATTTCATTGCAAAGCATTCAACCTCGACGAAGGTTGGGGGTTTCTAAGCACATCGTGCCTCACGGATGCGCACCGCAAGCCTTCCCCAGGCACACACACACACACACACACCCCACACACATGCCTCCCTCGCTCTCCGGAGTGGTAGTGCAACTTTTTCTCCAAAGCCGTTTTTCCTAGAGGCATTTCCTGCGCAGGAAGGGCCTGGCCCTCTCCTACCGGCAGAGTCACCCCGGGAGAAAACTTGGGAAGGCTTGGAAGTTCCCAGCACGACACACACACATTATTATTATTATTATTTTCTCTTTTCTTTCTCCCTCCCTCTTTCTTGCTCTTTGGAGCGAAAATCTCCAAGTTATTAAAGAACAATTCTTCATTTTAAAAAGAAAAAAGAAAATACCCCCTCCTCACAGGAACCCTTCTCGGTCCCGATCGCTGAGTTTTCAGTGCGTGTTTTTCCAAGGGTCTCTTGCCTCTCCACTGGCAACTTGAACAAAGCGGATGCCTTGAATTCTTTCCCAGCCCGACTTGGTTTTGGCAGCGCTTTGGAGCCCAGATTCAGCCCCGCAAGAAGGGAAGGGAAGGAGCCGGAGGAGGGAGCCAGAAGAAGCACGAAGAGAGACCCCCCCCGCTTCTCCGTGCCCCCCTCCTCCTGCTTGACCCCCAAACCCAAGCCCGAAACCCCCCCTTCGCCCCCAAGGCTTCACTTCGGGCAGTTCTCACCTTCCTACTTTTTGCCCCGCCAGATCCGCCACCTCTGGGCTGAGGAACTCAGCCGGGAACCGAGGATCGGAGTCCGGCAAGGACTTTTTCTCCCTCAGCGCCGAAACCGCAGCAGCCGCCCAGGTT